TTTCCCAAATTTGCAAAGCTCACCGGAAGGACACAAACCGAGGACAATTTTTTCCTGATATAGGGTTTATTACTCAAGTAAGGGTAAAAAAAAAGTATCTGATTAGAAGGCTACTTGAGTACCGAGTATCATCTGATCTAATATTTTTAAAATGATGACATCAAACAGACAAAAAATAAGAAGTTATGGGCAAATATTGTATTTTAAATACTAAAGGGGAAAAATGTAAACAAATAAACAACATAATTACAAAATAACAAATTTTAGGCAAAATTTAGACACAAACTGAGGACAATATTTTCCTGATATACAGGGTTTATGTAGTTGTCTGAAAATGTAACACGTTTAAAAAAAATACCACGATAATACCGAAAACATTGATAATTTTGGTCACAATAACCGTGAGGTTAAATTTTCACACCGTGACAATGCTAGACATGACCACCTCGAAGGGAGGGTTATGATGATGAAGTGACCTGATTTAAGACCCTTTACATCCTTCCTGTGACCCACACCGTGACCTCAAAATTAGTGGAAAAGGCCATGTTAAAGTATGGGATCTTTTTGAAGTACGGGGATGGTGGAATTTTTTGTGCATGAATGACTATATAAAGCAGCTGCAGCACCGCTACCTGCATGTAAACCGTGTCGCAGACACCTCCATATTGAAATGACGCTATGCATTACGGGGCTCCCAGGGACAGTTAAGAGTTGGTCTCTCTCCGAGAATAATTATGAATTTAACAATGATTACTGCCTGATGACATTTTCCCAAATTTGCAAAGCTCACCGGAAGGACAAAAACCGAGGACAATTTTTTCCTGATATACAGGGTTTATGTAGTTGTCTGAAAATGTAACACGTTTAAAAAAAATACCATGATAATACCGAAAACCGTGATAATTTTGGTCACAATAACCGTGAGGTTAAATTTTCACACCGTGACAATGCTAGACATGACCACCTCGAAGGGAGGGTATATGATGATGAAGTGACCTGATTTAAGACCCTTTACATCCCTCCTGTGACCCACACCGTGACCTCAAAATTTGTGGAAAAGGCAATGTTAAAGTATGGGATCTTTTTGAAGTACGGGGATGGGGGAATTTTTTGCGCATGAATGACTATATAAAGCAGCTGCAGCACCGCTACCTGCATGTAAACCGTGTCACGGACATCCCCATTTTGAAATGACGCTATGCATTACGGGGCTCCCAGGGACAGTTAAGAGTTGGTCTCTCTGCGAGAATAATTATGAATTTAACAATGATTACTGCCTGATGACATTTTCCCAAATCTGCAAAGCTCACCGAAAGGACACAAACCGAGGACAATTTTTTCCTGATATAGGGTTTATTACTCAAGAAAGGGTAAAAAAAAGTATCTGATTAGAAGGCTACTTGAGTACCGAGTATCATCTGATCTAATATTTTTAAATTGATGACATCAAACAGACAAAAAATAAGAAGTTGTGGGCAAATAATGTATTTTAAATACTAAAGGGGAAAAATGTAAACAAATAAACAACATAATTACAAAATAACAAATTTTAGGCAAAATTTAGACACAAACTGAGGACAATATTTTCCTGACATACAGGATTTATGTAGTTGTCTGAAAATGTAACACGTTTAAAAAAATACTGCGATAATACCGAAAACCCTGATAATTTTGGTCACAATAACCGTGAGGTTAAATTTTCACACCGTGACAATGCTAGACATGACCACCTCGAAGGGAGGGTTATGATGATGAAGTGACCTGATTTAAGACCCTTTACATCCCTCCTGTGACCCACACCGTGACCTCAAAATTAGTGGAAAAGGCAATGTTAAAGTATAGGAGCTTTTTAGAGTACATTTGAGGGGGCTCTTTAGACTAGGAATGACATATCAGAATGCAGACACTAACGCCTTAAAGGGAGGGTTATGACAATGAAGTGACCTGATTTCTGACCAGTTACATCACTCCTGTGACCCACACCGTGACCTTAAAATTAGTGGAAAAGGCAATGTTAAAGTATAGGAGCTTTTTGAAGTACGGGACTTGGGGGGGGGGGGGGGGGGCTTTTTAGACTAGGAGAGACATACCAGAACGCAAACACTATCGTCTTAAAGGGAGGGTCAGAACACTATTACTAAAACAATAATTTCATCCAACCATTCATCCATTTTCATCCGCTTATCCTGAGTTGAGGCAGCAGCCTAAGCCATGAGGCCCAGCTGTCCTGAGAGAGAGTTTGGAGAAAATCACAATTTCCCATTGAAAGTGGGGATTTTTGGTTAGGGTTAGGGTTTACAACATATGTGAATTTCGTGTCCCTATGTAGAATATAACTATTTTTAATAATTTAAAAGCAACTGGACGTTTGGGCCAAACCCTAGGCCCCAAACGAAGCCTGACCTATATTTGTGCCCCTTTTTGGCCGCCGTTCGGCCCACGTTGGTTTGATGCACACAAAAGTTGTTTTGGTGCATCCCGATGCTGGCGCGACCCACAGGTTTTGAATTTGTGCCGGTCGCATTGTTGTAAAGGTTTGTTTGGGCCCAGAGGGCAGTTTCCCCGCCATTTTTGCCATGTGCTCGCAAATGTGTTATTTTTCAACCGATTTTCACCAAACAAACACCGATTTGGCATGCCACCGGCACCCCGAGCTAGCCCAGGCGGATTGGTAGCCATTGCATCGTTCTGGTGGTGTTCTGGGTCAGAGGTCACAACGTTTTGGTACATGCAGAAAAAAGGAAGGTTTTGGTCTGAAAAACAATGTTCTCTTCAACCTAGAGACTTGAACCTTTTACTGTGTCTTTACATAGCTGGCAACTCCAAAATATTCAAGTGTCAAGTTGCTGTCTCATTCAAAAGGGTCATATATGCAGAAAAAAGGATTGATTTGGGCTGAAAAACATGGTTCTCTTCAACCTAGAGAATTGAAACTTTAACTATATCTTTACATAGCTGACAGCTCCAACATATTCAAGTTTCAAGTTGCTGTCTCATTCAGAAGGGCCAGAGTTTACAGCCTATATTGGCTATAGTGTATTATTTAATATGATTTAACAATGAATTTGAATTTATTATTATTGTAATTATTTTTATTTTATATGAATATAAGGAGCAGAATTAGTCATTAGAATTAAATGTTAACCGAGAATTAATTTAAAATATTTTGTCTAAACTTATAAATCCATGTAGTTTTTAAGTTTCATTTCATTTCACTTACTTGTCAAGCAGGTCACATAACTACAAAAGCCAATCAGAAAAATCCATGGCCTCAGCCAATCAGAAAATTGGAGCAAAAAATTCAAGTCCAGAGCTGCAGTACTAGTGTGTGTCCACTAGGTGAGCTCAAGAGTTGATTCCAAAACACACATGTCAGTAATTACTATTTTTCTGAGGTATTTTTCTGAAACTTTGCCAGAACACGTTTGAGTGTAATTAAAGAAGATTTAAGGCAAAATTTTGTGAGGACATGGCAAAATGTCCTCACAAAGGAAAATGTCCTCACAGTACAGGTCGTTTGTCAAGGGTACGTCCTCACAAGTATAGTCATACAAACACACACACACACACACACACACACACACACACACACACACACACACACACACACACACACAAACACACACACACACACACACACACAAGCACAAACACATACAAACACACACACACACACACACACACACACACACACACACACACACACACACACACGCACACACACACACACACACATACACACACACACACACACACACACGGGTGTCAGACTGAAGGCCTGGGCCGGGACTCGGCCTGCAGCCTGTAGTAACCGGTGTGCAGACAGCAGATTGTTTAATTCGTCTGGTGGAGCCGTCAGAAGAACGAGACACGCCAGAATCCGGTTCGGCAGGTTGCTTCATGGGAGAAGGCGTGTCCGCCGTGAGCAGCACGCCATCACCACACACAAGAAATGCTGCTGATCCAGAAAATCTCACTGGTGGCTGAGAGCCAGGATTAGCAGCAACACTTGCAGCCTTGCTGCAGCAGAGACGCGGGATCCGTGTGATCTGCATCAAACTGGTGAGGCCAGGTGTGTGTGTGTGTGTGTGCTGATGAGCTCTTGCTGGGCTGCGTGAACCCATCAGCACCAAAACCAGACAGAACTCACCTGACGGGCTTCCTGAATCTGCCTCCGCACCACCTCCTTAATGGCTGGTGTGTTTTGTCTGGGCGGGTGGTACAGCATGCTGATGGACGTCTCCTTCATTTGAAACTGGATCGTCGGCCATCCCATCTCCAGCTCTGGGATTTCCTCGTCGGACATGATTGTTGAGTACAGGGAGGGGATGAGCCTGTCCGTGTTTTCCACGTCATTCTCTTCGTCTTCCAAGGCAGGTCCCTCTGCGTTTCCCAGGATGAAGCAGATCTCCTCCTCTGACAGGAGATGGCTGATCTTCTCATACCGGAGGTACTCCTCGTAGGCCTCCTCACCTCCACAGAGGAGGGCGTAGATGGCCAGGCGGTACGCCTCTTTGTAGTGTGGCTGAACGTAAAATTCATCAGGAGACAGATCAGACTCCATGGATGCCATGTTCCCTCTGACTCAGCTGGTCTTCTCTACCTTCAGAGTGATAAGAGACTGTTACCTGGAGCAGGTGAGCCTGAAGGCCGTGTCTGAGGGAAGGACTTGTGTGTGTGTTTGAAATCACCAACAGCTGCTGACTGAGACTAAACACTTACTTGACCATCGACAGAAGAAGAGTCGGTTTCTCCTTTCAGGAACTTCAGATGTCCAGAAGCAAGCGTGCCTCTCAGGGATCTGCCTGGCTCCAGCGCTGCTCACCTGACTGCTCGGTGCTAACCTGTTGTACCTGTTCTGTTAGCTCCACTGACAGATTCCACAACAAGCTCCACCTACCTCAGCTCACCTGTGTTTCAGGTGTAGCTTTGTTTACCTGGACAGCACAGTTTCACTGCTGCTGCAGACTCAGTCACACAATAACAGCAAGGAGACGGAGTCACAGATCAGGACCGTTTATTACATCACAGAGCACTAAAGGGACACACAGCGGTCTAGAGTGGGCGGACCTATCTGGTCCTGGGTCAAGCTCGGTAAGAACATCACAACAACAGCCTCAGGTGTAGCTACAGGCACCCAGGTGGTATTTATTTAGCTCTGGTTAAAACCCTTCCGTGTCTGAGGGAACCCCACGTCTGAACCCGGTCTCAGGTCAGCGGTGGGCGGTGTCCCTGGCCCTAAACACCACCAGAGTGCACTCTGACATAAGCTAGGGTGGAGGCGTTCCACTACTCGTGTGTTCCTTAGACACGACTAAAAACAGCTGACGTCACACACATGCTTTGATCCGTGCTTCACCACCGCCTCTTATTTTCTGGGCGGGGTGGGGGACTTCATGAATCTGGGAGGGGTTGGAGACTTGACACTGCGAGGTGGAGTCGGGGTTGGGGATTTAGGGGTCGGGGTGGAGGCTGGGGTGGAGCCCTTCGTGGACGGTGCTGGGGTTTGGGGCTTGGACGGGGTGGGAGTAGGGGTTTTAGAGGGGGGGGCGGGGGACTTGGGAGCGGGCGTGGACGCGGGTGCAGCTGCCGTCTTGGGCTGTCCCAGTTTGGGCTCAGGGATCTGCTCTCCATGCTTGTACACGCTGACGGTGATTTCCACGAACTCGCCGCCGTACTTGTTCCGGACGTTGATGCTGTACTTGCCGGAGTCTTCGGGGGTGACTTTGTTGATGACGAGGCTGGCAAACTTGCCTCCGTCGAACGTCACTTTGGTGTGCTCGTTGGAGGCCACTTCCTGCTCATTTTTGAACCACGAGACCTCAGGGGTTGGTTCCCCCCACACGGTGCAGGTCAGGCTCAGGGACTAGAGAAGAAGGGTTAGGGTTAACCATGCAGGACAGTTACAAATGGCATCCATAATTACTCTGGTCATAGATGTTAGGTTCCTGAACGGCCTCTGTTAGGAGAACTAAAGTAGTAACTAGTAACTAGTAACAACTAGTCTGTCCTCTACAGTGTTGGGCAAGTTACTTCAGAACTGTAATGCATTATTTATTACTTGTTACCCTCATTTTAAAGTAATCCATTACATTACAATATTACTGATTTTAAAATGTAAGGCATTACACTACTTTTGCATTACTCTAAGTTACTTTCACCAAAACAACTTCAGTATGAATCTGGTCATGTGACGCTCAGTGAGCTCATGACATGTATGTGGAAGGTGATGTGGTGTCTGAGCTAGGGTTGCTGTTATAAACAGTCAGATATAATAACAGTGCTTTAACATGATTGTTTATTAAATAAAAGCAACAACAATGTGTACTCTCAGCACGCTGCCATCTTAGATTACCTGAGCAGGGAGTGAGGTGGTGGGGGCTCCAAGCCTATATTTGCCTTGGTCCCCAAATGCCTTGATACGGCCCTGGATGTGGGACTGACTTCTGGGGTGATCTGATTCTATCACATGTATAAATATTAAATGCTTATATATTATTGCTTTTCACTGGTAAACATGTGTGTATTGGGGATAAATCTACCTACTTTTTTCTTGATTTTACGTGAATAATTTCCGGCCCTTTCTCTCTCTAACCTTCCTGCATGCTGCAGGTTTTCTCCGTCTTCCAGAAAAACTGTTTCCTAGACTTCCTACTTTCTAACTAATCAGCCAACGGGATCTACCGAACACAAAATAATAAAAGCTTCAAACGCGCTGCGCTCCAGCAGCAATGGGTTGAAACCACCGGGGCACAGATTATGAACTCAGCTGAAAAGTACATGAAGTACCAGAGAATATGGGCCGATATGAACGATCACAAACGAATGACTTTGTTTTGGTGGAGTGATTTTGTGAATATAACAGCGGCCGCGCGCAGGACGCAGCTGGAGTGTTTGAGCCGTTACCGCTGCGTCCTCTCTGCTCAGAGAATGC